TGTGTTGGGTGCACTGTTCACGGGGGGGAAACGAGAACTAAGGGTGTTTTTTTATTTTTGCTTTTTTTTTTTCGTTTACAGTAACAACCGCCCCCTTTTTTTTTCTCTTCCCTCCTCCACTTCTTGTCATGCCAGATGGCTGTGCAATGGTAACTCTGTGCCATTAGGCGGCGCAGACTTCAAACTATCCTAGCAAAGGGAGAGATTCACAGATGTAATTAGAAACTTCAGGGCTGGGAGATCTGGCACACTCAAGATCTCTAGCTAAAGGTGAAAAGGTGATAAGAGAGCCATAGCCGATAAACTATTGCCTATGTTGGGGAAGAGTGGGATTTATTCACTTTAGACATACAGAGTTGATCTGAGTTGTTCAGATCTTCTGCCAAAGCTCACTTCAAAATTCCTGGCTCCTTTCAGAAGGGAAATAAGTACACGCTTGGTTTTATTTTTTCCTTGTTTATTTTTCATCAGTATCTTCTAAGGGAAATGGAATGCTATTTCGTTGTTTGATAAAGCCATAAAACACAGTCCTAATATAAGACATTATGATTGTTTTCATATTAGTCCTATTAATCTGCCCACCTTCCCTGCTCCTAGAGCCTAAGAATAAGGCTGAAATTCCCCAGTGCTCTAGGGCTGCATGAATCGTGCAATAGCTTGATAACTCCTAGGCTGAAGGGATATTCAGATATGGAAAGCAATCGTTTCTAATCACCATCCCCCTTCCTCATATTCCCGCCGTTCTGCCGGTAAGCTTTTCTAGGCTTGTGAAATGAGTCTTGCTATTTCAGAGAGCTGACAGCAACCTTGGAGCAGGTAGTGGCGGGAAGTTTTTAAATCCGCGGCTGAATTTCCAGAGTAAAGCATTAACGTTGTTAACAAAGAGGTTTGCTCTCTAAAGCATTGTGGGGGTTGTAATTCTTGTACGCAAAACTTGAAGAGAATAAGTCCAGAATCAGTAGAGAGGGTCGGATAGGTACATATATTTGCACAGCACATACAAGACAAAACAGACTGTGATATTGCATGAAACGACACCTTCGTTTTTCCCTCCCCCACCCTAATTTTGGCTTTAAAACTGTACTGCAGGTTAATTCAAAAAGAAAATGGTTTGTTTTTTAGATACTGTTTACACAAGAAGATGGCATTGACTATCAGTTGTGTAAACGTATGTCTTAAGTATGCTTATGAATCTGTGCATGCTTGCACTTTGGTAGACAGCAGAATATAGTTCCTAGGAAACATCACATGGCTACTTGAGAGGGAACTCAGGAAAACATCATAAGTGGTATATTGCAACTATAATCCATAGGTAGTATTTTTATTTATATGCTTACATTGATAACCTTATTTCTGTGTAATATTGTTCTCTGTATAGGCTGCAGGTCAAAGTGATGTGAAGCAAGAGGTGAGTGTCTTTAATTTTAGAATCTGCCTGAAAAAAAATACACTTATTCTATAGACTTCAGGTAGAATAAGGATCTAAACATACATGCTGGTTGGTATATTTGTACCATATGAGTATCAATATGGTATGCCAGTGAGCTCTTTCATAAATACAATAATAAAAACTCCAAGCTTCTTGAAATCTAGGACTGTGTGCCTATTAAGATTGGAAAAGAACATCTTAAGAAATAAGAAATGCTTTGTCAGTTAGAAAGAAGGGACTACATTTTCATTTTTAAATATGACCCTTGTTACTAGTCATCATGGTCCTTTATCTTAGGAAGTGAAGCTTAATTTGGGATTTTTCCCCTTAGCCTATGGAGGGTCTAGAGAAAGGGAAAAATGAAACCTTAAATTTCTACATTTATATTCTAACCAATTTCACAATTGCCTCTTTAATGACAATATTTATGTAGTGTTCCATCAAATAGTGTCACTACAATAAAAATCATTCTAGTTTTGTGTAATAATAATTCTCTTAACTGATATTTTTTTTCACTTATAGCCAAAGAGAAGATCAGCCAGATTGTCTGCTGTAAGTACTCCTTTGAAAAAGCAGCCCATGTATTGTGAAAACTAATTTTAAAATTTAGGGAATTCTGAATAATATTATATTTGATGTAAGAATGAGTTTTGAAGTTTTAAGAAAAAATTTTCACACTTAGGAACTACACTTTTTTCCCTAATACTCAATTTATATCATACATATTTATTTTAATTCAGAGGCAGGATTTTATTTTTAAGGTTCTTTCTTCAATATAATTTCTTCATTTTTCCCTCTTTTTACATGACTTAATTTTTTTTAAATGCAGATGCCTGTGCCCATTATACCAGAGTTGAAACCCAAAAGATCATCAACTTCAAGGGTAAATATTCAACTTCAAATGTTGAAAGAATATTGCTTTTCTGAAGAAATAACTTATGAAAATGCATATATCTGATTATTTTGCTTTTTGAATTTTGTTCAATTAATAATATATTTTACTATATAGTACATATAAAATAATTAGGTGGGGAATTTTTTTCCTGTTTCATAATGATCCACCAGGTTTTGGTATTTTTATTGGGTAAGGACAAAATTTTAGTTAAATAGATTCATTAAATGTCTATGCCTTTGAGGTTTTGTAGTCACAACACCAAATTCCTAGGAGAACAAAGGGTGTAAATTGCAGTAAACAAACTAGTGATTTGTAAAAATAGTAGTAATTAGAATTTGATAATATATACAGGTTGTAAAGTATTTTCATACACATAATTTTTCAGTGGACATAATTGATTTTATATAGATTTCTATGCTGAGATGTTGTGGCTAAAGTCATGTAGACAGAGAAATAACCTCAATATTAAATTCACTTTTAATTGCTTCACACATATTTTAAGGATTTGTTAAATTACTAAAGTCATAGAAATTTGAGGAACATTAGAAATCATCTAATCCTATCATTTTATAGTTGAAGAAATCGCAAATTGTTGTCATGTTGATAAAGTGCTATGAAATCTTTGATTGGAAGGTATTGCTAGAACTAGGGAAAGTAAAGTTTTATTAAGTAATAATTGATCTATTCATATCAGTGACAACAGAAAAGTGTTTATTTTTATTTTATAGTGTCTATGCCTTTTAATGATATTAATCACAGTTAATTTGTATATTGATACAATAGTTATAGAATTGTTCTTCTACAAGTTCTACTTTGAATTCTTAGAATATACAAATAAATACACACATAATAACAAAATGTGATAATAAAAACATGTATTAAGAATTTGTTCTTAATTTTTCTCCATTATACTTTTCAAGCTCACTATTTTATAAAGTTAACTACCCAATTTATAACTTATTAAAACAGTAAATACATTTTATTTTCTTTTAAAAAGAGGAGATTGGGCTGGAGGTATAGTTCAGTGTTTGAGCACTTGCCTAGCACAAACAAGGCCCTAGGTTTGATCATCAGCATTACAAAGAGAGAGAGAGAGAGAGAGAGAGAGAGAGAGAGAGAGAGAGAGAGAAGAAGAAGTGAGAGGAGGAGGGGGGAGGGGGAGAAAATAATGCTAGATTAAATGATATACTATAAAATTATAGATATTAAAATTATTTACCTTTCTTGGCTTTTAGTTTCTCACTTGTTAAAAAACAATAGCATATTTATATTGTAATTTAGAATTTCTAAAGTAATTTTATATTTGCCTCTTATAAGGTAACTATGACTTGGGTAGTATTGCTCTTTGTACAAATGATAAAACAACCTCAAAGTGATGTATGCTTTTGTTCAAGGTCACATCACATAAGTGACATATCTACAATTCAAGCACAGTTGTTCTGGCCCTTTAACCCAGTGGTCTTTCTACTACCTATATTGCCAGGCATAGAACATTCTTGATAAAGCATTCCTGATTTAAGTCATTTTAAAAATATATGCTACTTTACGTTTTCAATAAAACAAAGTGTGTTATATTAACTTCGTTGACATTGGGCTTATATGTAGCATTTTAAAGCTTTTCCCTAAATTACCACTACAGCTGATGAAGGAAATTTGACCAATTCATCAACATTCTGATTAAATTATGTATTTATTTATTTTTATTCTTTTTGTGTCATTGCACAGAAAATTACCGAAAATGATATGATGGGAAAAAACATAGATACAAATGCCAAAGCAGTTGTTGAAGACAAACAAGATGAAGTTGTTGAAGCAAAGAACAATGAAAATGCTGAAAATGGAGAAGCCAAAATTATAGAGGTATCTTACAATGTTAACAAATTTATCCACTTGAAAGCTTGAAAATGGATGCAATGGAAAGAAATATTATTTGCCTTTTATTTTAAAAGTTTAGAAACATTAAATGAATAATGATTATACAATTAATAGTAACTAAAGAGAAATGATAATTTAAAATATGAGAATTTAAAGGTACTGGCAATGGGAGAAGTGGCCTAGTATTGGTATTACTTGGAAAATGCTAGTGATCATGACTTGGTACTAATATAATGACCCTCTTATTAAATGCAGGCCAATCCTCTCTTGCTTTAGTCAGCATATGGACTATATGTAAATTCCTTTCCAAGAAATCCCCTTCCTGTAAATTCCCTTTATTTTCCCTATAGATTGCAAATCAGGACATTATATAAGTGTTTTAATAGTTTTTTTGCATATTTAATGCATCATTCATTTTCAGATATTGTAGTAAAATACTGAAAATGGGATATAATGATCAAATCTACAAAACAAACATATATATGTGGAGTATCTTCTGTAAGTGTATAGGATTTTGCAATAATCTTTATTTTTAAAAAGCCCAAATTTCCTCTTTATAAAAACAAAATGTATCATTTTCCCAAGGACTATATTTTGTTTACATGCATGCTACTCAGTGAGAATTACTAACACAGAATGACTCTGTAATCCTGTGTTTATTTTGTTCTTCATATTTGTAATGAAAAATATTTATATGAATAAGCCTTCCCAAATTTACTGTTGCAGATTTCTATTTGTGGGTGTTTGTGTGGCTTTATTTATTTCTTAGAATATTTGCCTATGTTGTGATTTTTCTATAGGTGAATTACTTTGTTGTAAAATAAGTATTAGTTTTTCCATGAAATAGATACAATCTGATTTAAGTAGGTGGGAGAAACAGTTCCAAATTTACTATTTTCTTGCTTCACTACAAATTTAGGTACCAGTTCCTGCAAAAGAACTTGGGGAAATAAAAGAAGAAAATATCAAAGAAGATGAAGAAGAGAAAGAAACAGTGGCAGCAGAAGGAAAAAAAGATGAAAAAGATCCAAAAGATGAAGATCAAAATAAAGAAGAAAAAGGAGAAGATGGAAAAGAAGACCAAGATGAAAAAGATAAAGAACAAGATAGAAATGAGGACAAAGACACAAATGAGAAAGGAGAAGATGGAACAAAGGAAGACCAAAAAGAACAAGAGGGTAAAGAGCAAGAGGGGGAAGAAGGAAAAGGGAAAAAAGAAGATGGAAAGGAGGACAAAGATGGAATAAGCAAAGGAGATGATAGAGAGGGGGAAGACAGAAAAGAGAAAGGAGATGGAAAAGATGATGAAGATGGTGAAAAGGAAGAAGACAGACAAGAAAAAGATGATAAAGAGAAAGATGAAACAGAGGAGGAAGATGGAAAAGGCAAAGAAGATGAAGAAGAGGAGGAGGAAGATAGAAATGAAGATGAAGGTAAAAATGAGGAAGAAAATGGAAAGGACAGTGAAGAAGATGGAAAAGATGAGGAAGGAGGAAAAGAAGAAGAAGAAAAAGAAAAAGAGGAAGAAGAAGGAAAAGAGGAAAAAGAAGGAAAAGAGGAAAAAGTAGGAAAAGAAGAAGGAAAAGAGAAAAAAGTAGGAAAAGAAGAAGAAAGAAAAGAGAAAAAAGAAGGAAAAGAGGAAGAAGAAGGAAAAGAAGAAAATGGAAAAGGGGATGGGAAAAATGGAGGAGATGAAAAGGAAAAGGAAAACAAGGCTGAAGTTGGAAAAGAAGCTGAAAACAAAGAGGTCAAAAAAGAAGATGGAAAAAAAGAGGAGTCTCTGAGTACTGTTTAACACTGCCCTATATACTTTCATAATTTGTTAACATGTACCTTTGTGTTGTAATGATAATAGAGATAAATATTTTTATCAGATATTTTATAAACACTGCTTTTCTTTAGCACCATTTAATTTCAGAACGTCTTCATACTGATTATTAGTTACAAAATGCCTAACATGAAAACTTCATCTATAAATATCGTGATTATAGTAGGGGAATGTATAAAAATACACTATTTGTTTTGTGTAAATTATGTGTTAAAATCTTTTAATTGAATTTTATTCCTACATATGATAATTTCACAAAGTAGAAGAATTCCAAAAGAAGGCGTTTCATCCAACATTCTTATGGTTCTTTAGGTGGCTTTTATAAAAATGTGAACTATTTTCATGTAATGCTTAGTTATGTTTCCCAAAGATAATTTTATTAGTAGCTTGGGAAAAGTATAAATAAAATTGTAATCCCATTTTCAAAGAAATATAAATGTTTACTTCAGAAGGGCAGTTTTAAGTACATGTGTGTGCACAACATTTTACTGGATTTATCTAAATAAAAAGATTTCAGAGATGATCATGGTTTGTTATATCTCCAAAACTGTTGTTAATGAAATGTTATAATACTTTATTTTTTCTATTGTGATATTCATGAAAGCAGTAAAACTTTTTCCACTGAACTACCATTAATATAAAACTCAGTTTTAATCATTTAAAGTGTACAATTCAAGTATTAAGTATGTTCATAATGTTGGATAATCATAACCACACTATGTAATTCCATTGCATTTTTAACCACCCAAATAAAAAGTACCACTTAGCAGTCTTTCCCAATTTCCTTCTAACCCACATGCCATTCTCCAGCCCCAGGTAATGGTTTCTTTTATGAAATTTTTGCCAACTATGGACACTTCATGTAAATGGAATCATGCAATATGCATATGCCATTTTGTGTTTGGCTTCGTTAACTTAGCACAATGTTTTTAGGTTCATCTATATCATATCATGCATCATTACTTCATTAATTTTTATGGCTGAATAATATTCCATTTCATCAAAATAAGACATTTTGTTTTTTAATGGACATTAGGATTGTCTCCACATTTTGTCAGCCATGAACAATGCTGCTATGAATATTCCTGTACAAGTTTTAATGCAGATGCATGTTTTCATTTCTTCTGAGTATATATTTAACAGTAAAACCACTGGGTCTTATAATATTTGTCTAACTTTTAGAAAACCTTCAGACTGTTTTCAAAGTGCTTTCTACATTTTATATCCCCATCATCAATGTATGAAGGTAAAAATTTCTCCACATATTTGCCAGCAATTGTTATTCTCTGTCATTTATCATAGCCATCTCTTTAGGGTGATTTGGGAAGATAAAACTCATGTGATTTTGATTTGTTTTTCTCTAATGATGTTTTCATCTCCTCATGTGGCTTGTTTGCTATTCAAATTATTTGTTCATTTGTTTGTTGATTTTTCATTTTAGCATTAACTTTTAAGGAATTTCTCTAATTTTTATATAAGTCCATTGTCAGATTATTTGTGGAAATTTTTTATACTCTGTGGTTTTCACTTTATTGATCACAGTAACTGTATGGAAAGCAATATATAACAGATATATGGATTTATGTCTTTGATTCTTAATTCTGTGTCATTGATCTCTACCTTTATGTTATTATCACACTTTTGATTACCATAGCATTGTAAGCTTTAACATCTAAAAGTATCAGTACTCCAAATTTGTTCTTGATCATTCATAGTTCCTTGCAATTGCATATGAATTTTAGGACCAGTTTGTCCATTTCTGTAAACAAATGTAGTCAAGAGTTTTCGTAAAGATTTCAATAAATATGCATGCATATCAAGCTGGATAATATTACCAGATTAAAATTAATAAGTTTTTCATTCCATAAACACAAGGTGTCTTTCCATTTATTTAGTTTCTCTTTAATTTCTCTTAGCACTTATGTTGTTGTTTTCACTATATAAATCTTACATCACTTCCTTGGTTAAATTTATTTATCAATATTTTATTCTTTACATCCTATAAATGGAATGATAAATTGACTTCTGTTTCAGATTGTTTTTTGCTGATGTATAGAAGTATAACTGATTTTGTACATTTAACTTGTATTCTCAAAATTCGCTGAACTAATTTGTTAGCTCTACTAGACATTTTTGGATTCTTCACAGTTTTTGTTATAAAATTGTGTCATCTGCAGTGATTTACTTCTTCCTTCCTATTTTTTGCCTAACTGCCCTGGATTTAAAAAGACTTCACAAATAATAAGAATACAAAAGAAGCTACACAAAATTCAGGAAGCCTGGTTTTCAAAACATAAGCCTCTGTCATAACATTTCCTAGGGCTAGTAGTTACTGTACCATTTTATACACTTGCTGCATTGCTACAATAGCTACAGTAATTAAAACCAATCTAAAAAGACTGGCTAAACTGCTAGGCACTCCCCTTGATCTGCTTCCAAACTATATTCTGCAACTATAGAGAATGCATTGCCAAAACATCCAACACTGAAGTTGGTCTCTTAAGCACCTTAATCCTCTTCATTTTCGTTGCTAAAGTAAAACTAACAATTCTGGTTTCCACTTTAGAAACGTATTCCAGGTTACTAGCAGAATGGTGGTAATGGATAATCTTAACTTTTCATATGAAACCCTGTCCTCTACATAAAGAAGGTAGCTAGCTTCTTTAAAACATTATTTAAAATGCATATTAAAAGATATGACAAGAATGTCATGGCAAATGACAGGAAGTATATTTTTCCACAATATGTTACTAAAGTGAACTTTCATTCTCAGGTCTTGTCTAATTTTCTTTCTTGATGATTTAGTTGGATCTTACTTGACATTTTCCATCAGAATTTTGTTTTCCTTGGCTGGGGCTATAGCTCGGTGATTGAGTGCTTGCCTAGCATGTGTGTGGTGCTGAGTTCGATTCTCAGCACTGCACATACATACATACATACATACATACATAAACAAATAAAAATAAATATTCATTGACAACTAAAAAATAATTTTTAAAAATTGTTTCCCATAATTGTCTCCTAGAAATCTCAATAATTGCAAGATATAAAGAAAAAAGGGGTATCAATTAATAGGCAAAATACATCATCACTGGAAGTGAATGTGAAGATAAATTGCAAATCTACAGAACAATCTTTGCTAAAGATATGGAGAAATAACCAAGAGTACAAAATATCTATAGGGAAATACGCAAATAGTTCAAGAATGGCACTTGGAGCTTTTTAAATAATATGAGCCGTATTTCTTTATCTAATTTGCAACACAAATTATTGGTATATAATACTGATTCAGAAAAATAATTGATTTCTTTAGTATATAATGCTGAAATTTTTTGTAAAAATTTTTGGTGTGACTTTAGAGTTCCCCATTAGTAAGCATGGTTCTCATAAACCAGGATGAGATGACAAAGACAAATCATGACATCATTTTTTAAAAAAATAAGGTTTTGATAATCCTAAAACAGTAGTGTTTTGCCCTTAAGAGACTTTATTTTTTAATATATTACAGCAGAAATTCTCCAGAAATAAAAAATACTGCTCTTAACAAATGGTTTAAATAGGTACAAATATGTAATCAATAAAAATTTGAAATTCAAAAAAAATTGTTTACCATAAGGAACAGAGAAAAAACTTCTCAAATTTGCTGTGGTTTAGAGTCTCCTGTACTAAAATTAAGTTAAATCTAAACCAGGAAATAGGTAAATGACTTGGGTGAGAATACTTTCCCATAATGCAGAAGAAGTTTATTACTATGATATTTATACAATATATATGTTGTTTTTAAGTCTTAAAATAGACATTTAAGAATATAATCTATCATTAATAATAATTCATTTTCTCAATAGTTTTTCAGATTATATTGATCTGTTTAGGACAGAAAATTAAGTTAGGCAAAAGCTGAATTTTATATAAAGTAATGATGACTGTTTCACAAATGTTATGCCTATAACTGGACTTCTTTAATTCTGGATATTTATTAAGGATTTTCATAACATGTTTTCTTTAAAATTTTTGTTTACCATAAACACTTCCTTAACAAATTTCTATCAAGTATCACATAATAGTGTAGATCAAAATGGTTTTCCTTTCTTTAATTATTACTCAGAAAAGCAAGGGCATTATGTATTCTATCATATATGGATGCTAAAGAGGACATAGAAAAATGGTGTGGAGGATCACATGAAAATTCAAGGGAAACCAATGGATTAGAAGAAAGGGGATAGGCAAAGGGAAGGGGGAAAGGAGAATACTGGGGAAAAATATTGACAAAATTATATTGTGTGTATATGAATATGTAACAACAAATCTCATCTTTATGTATAATTATAATGCATCAATAAACACAGGGAAGGGCTGGGGTTGTAGCTCAGTGGTAGAGCACTTGCCTCTCACATGTGAGTCCCTAGGTTCAATTATCTTCACCACATAAAAATAAAGGTATTAAAAAATAAAATACAGGGAAAAAGTTAAACATTAAAAATTATGTAGCGCTTAAGAACCAAGATTATTATTTAGTAAATGTTATATGACAATATATTCCTTCAATATCTTAGTAACTGGATCAGGTAGTCTGGACATGATGGGATTTGCTCAATAACATAAAGGAACTTCATGGTTTGTAGAAGTTGAGTTTCAGATCTTACAATGGAGAAAAGGATGGATGTCTGCATCTCTTGTGTTTTCTACAAGGAAAAAAATGTGAAGTGAGATGGATGACTTTGAAATATTTTAGTATTACTTGTTTAAAAAAATGACCTTTTCCTATAGATTAGAAATTATGATAAAGGGTTAATTTCTTCAAATATTTAACATTTAGAAAGTGTTTTTGTGCCAGACCCTGTTCTAAGCAGTTTGCATTTATTTCACATATATGAAGAAAACACATTTGCATTTTAAATTATTTTATATACACATGACAGTAGAGTGTATTTTGACATATTATATATACATGAAGTATAACTTATTCTAAATAGGATTCCATTCTTGTGGTTGTACATGATTTGAACTTTCCCTGGTTGTGTATTCTTATATGGACATAGGAAAGTTCTATTCGAGTCATTCTACTATCTTTCCTATTCCCATGCCCTTCCCTTTCCTTCATTCCCCTGTGTCTATAATTAATAATATCTATCATTAAGAACTTCTGTTCTTCCCATTACCCTTTATTGTGTGTAAACATCCACATATCGGAAAGAATACTTGGCCTTCATTTGGGGGGGAATGGCTTATTTCACTTAGCATGATAGTCTCCAGA